ATCCAAATACATAAACTAATTAAATGTAAATGGTCTAAATAACAATAAAATATTGTCAGAAGTAAGACATGAACCACTATACACTGTCTACAAAAAAAAATCACTTTAAATATGATGATATAGGTAGTTTTAAAAATGAACTAAAGGGAGAAAGAGATCATGTAGTTGGGAGATGTCAATACTCCTCTCCCACTGTCGGAATCTAGTAGAAAATCATTAAGGAAACAGAACTTTTAAACAATATCAGTAGCATCTTCATTTTTTTCAAGTGTACATGGAACATTTACCAAGACCAATCCATATCCTAGGTCCTAACTAACAATTTTAAAAGAACTGAAATCATACTAAATATATTTTCTGACCATAATAAAACAAATCACTGACAGTTATCAATGAAAATCAGAAAATATTTGGAATTTAACAAAAATGAAATTGTAACACAACAAGATTTGGGAAATAACAAAAGTGCCTAAAGGCAATTTTATACCATTAAATGTTTTTGTTAGAAAAGCATGAAATCAACAATCTAAACTTCTTCTGTAAGGAACTAGAAAAAGAGGAACATATAAAACCAAGGCAAGTAGAATGGAAGAAACAATAAAGATAAGAAATCTATGAAACTTAAAACAGAAAAACAACAGAGCATATTAATAAACTACAGGCTGGTTCTTAGGAAAGAGCCATACAATTAATAAACCTCTAGTAAACTGTCAAAAAGAGAGGACATGAAAATTCAACCATTCAGATGAAATAGGCCAATTCCTTGATACTTAATGATACTTAAGATTTTTTTAACAATACAAAAGGCAATTTTGATTATGGTGAAAAGAATTATTCAGTCCATCCTAAAGCCTTTTAATTATGGAAAGTTTGCTTTATATGTTAGATATTCATTACTACAATTGTATTCTTTAAATATAAACATTAATGTTCAGACTGTAAGAACTGAGTTAAAGGCTGGAGATGTAGCTCAGTAGCAGTGCGCTTGACCAGACTGCCCAGGGTCCTCGGTTCAATCCTCAGTTTTACAATGAATAAATAAATATTTTTTAAATTGAGTTAAAACAGCACAAAATCAGAAAAAACAGTAATTAAATTTGTAAATATATACACGCCTCCAAATGTAAAAATAGAGCTTGTAAAATAATATTAAGTTGTTTAGAGCCTTGCTAAATCCAGCCTCGGCAACTTATCAAGGCTCTAAACAACTTAATAAGATTCTGTCAAAATAAAAAATTTAAACAACAACAACAAAAATGCTGGAATGTGGCTCAGTGGTTAAGTGCCCTGGGCTCAATCCTGGTGTACCAAAACAAAAAATGACTGTAAAGAAGAAAAAAAAAATTGTTTAGAAAAATGTAAGTTTTAAAGTCTAAAAAGACAGAAAACCCTAAAAATTTTTTAAATTAGAATGAATATAAGGCCCCAAACCAAAACCACAAGTTTAAATAGTTTAGGGAAGAATACATTAAATTTGACAACATGGGAAAAAGCTTCATATCACTGGATTTCACAATGATGTCTTGTATATGACAACAAAAGCACAAACAACAAAATAAATAAATTAGAATGAATAGAATAAGTCAAAATTTTAAATTTCTGTGCATCAGAAGACTCAACAAAGTGAAAAGGTCACTCACAGAATGGGAGAGAATATTGCAAATCATGTATTTGGTAAGGACCAAGAGAACTCCTACAACTCAACAACAAAAAACAATCCATTAAAACATGGCAAAAGGCTGAGTAGGTCAGTGGTAAAGTTCATGCTTTGCAGTCCTGGTTTCCACGGGGTGAGGGAGCAGGGACTAGCAGTATGATTTCTTGCATCTAGAATGCTCTTTGAAAAAGGAATCAATTTTATTAATATTTTTATAATAAATATACAAAGAGCTTAAGTTCTTCAAATTTAAGATGAACACGCAGGTTGAGACAAGTCACAAATAAAATATATTATAAAAGTCATTTTTATAATCAGATTTGGATAATCAAGTACAATTACTAGAATTTAGGAAATCAAGTATTTTGTAATGTAAATTCTTAGGAAAAAGCACTGAAATAATTACCTTTAGGAAGCAACACAGATGTTGTTGACTTTTTCTTAAATATTTCTGAAATTTAAAGAACTAAGAATTTACTTGAATTAATTTTTTAAGTCATTTGTAATTGTAAATTTTTTTATTATTATTTTTGGTGCTGAGGATCTGAAAACCCAGGACCTCACATATGCTAAGTAAGACCTCTTAAAAAGGTACATCCCGGCCCTACAGTTGCAATTTTTATCTCATTAGAACATAAACTGCCTCAAGCTGCTTGGTCACTTCCAATGATTACTACTTTAGAAATAATTTGCAAGACTGAAGTTGCTAAACTGCTCCCCTAAACATTTTAGAATACTATGAAGTTAGGAACTTGGGGGGGGGGGTAACATACAAATTTTTTGGTTTAACCTACCCTCCAATTCTTCCATATTATTTTTATTCTTGCTTACATTTAAAAATAAACATTTTCAACAGACCTTATCTAATCATGGAACCATCAGGACATTCTGAATATAATCATACAGATATTACAGAAGAACAAATTTTATATCGAGTAATTAAAGGACTGTAATTTTGTTCTAAGGATATCTGCTTTCACAAGAGGTTTTTTCCAACACCAGGGGCAAAGTAATATTTTCTGGGGCTATTACAAAACATCTAGACAAATTAAATTTTTTAGCTTTATACCAAAGTTTATAAATACATCTACCAGAAACAATTTTCAGGCAAAATGGTAGAATGAATTTTGTCACTAACAAAAACCTAGTTTATATCTTTGCCAAAGAAATATTTAAATAAGCATTATTTTTAAATAACCTCATGAGCATGTGAAATAAAATAATTTGCTATACAGCAAGCTCAGGTCAGTATCTTCCCTTTTCCTTTCAATGAGTATTTTAACACAACTTTTCTCTAATAGTGTTCAGTTTTAAATGGATAGACTCTGACATGATAATTCTTTAAAGAGTTAACTCTCCATAAGTTGTTCTTGTTTTTCTGAGGACATATTTATGTTCATAAGGAATCTCATGTTAATCAGTTTTACATTTTCTTGCTCAAAATAAAAATAGCTTTCATATAGTATGTTTCAAAGATAAAAATCACATTACATTCTTGGGAAACCTTTATTTAAAATGCATACAAGATAAGTGCAGTAGTACCTGCAGGTATATATGTTTATTAAAAGAAAAAGAATTCTTAGGAAAATTCTACTGTTCATCTTGAGTACTTCATAAGCTCCCTCTGCTGGCTATCAATTTAAATAGAGAAAAAAAAATGTAGACCTTTTTCTTTTAAGGAAAGGAACCTTTGAGGGTGACAGGAGATACAAGATGAAGAATAAAATTGACAATGCTGTAGTTTAAAGGGAAAGGGAACTATGATTGACAATAATTATATATTTCAAAATGTATAGAAGAGAGGATTTTGAATGTTCACAGCACAAAGAAATGATAGGTTTGAGATGATGAATATGCCAATAACCCTGTGCCTCATAAATATGTAATTGTGTTAATTAAAAAATATGTATGTATGTGTGTGAGTATGCACATGCATGTATGTGTGGGGGGGATGTATATACACATATATACCCAAAAGGGGGAGTTCTCTTTAATAGGGACCAGGTCTAATTGGTAAGTAACTTCCATAGTTAGCTTGGGACTTCCAAACAGATTGGGTGAGGAGGAATTGAAAAGAAGGGGAGTTACTGCCAACTTTGAATACATTAGTCATTAAATTGCCAAATAGAAAACATTTAGTATAAAATAAGTCAATTATAAAAACTTAAGATTTGACACTAGAAAAATTAAGAATTGAAATAAATTTCACAAACTTCACTAGGACAAAAAGCTTATACCACACTATTTAATCTACTTAGTTTCAATATTAAGATTTATTTTTTCTTCCAGGAGATTAAGTAACAATTTAAATAATCATCAGGATGTGTACGAATGAACATCCACTCAGATAAAACATTACTGCTTAAAAGTGGCTATCTAAGAAATATTTTGCATGTAATAATAATAAATATATTTTATGTTTAGGTTAACAGGCACCATCTTGAGAGCAGAAAACTTTGTTTTTTTTAACCAATAAATAAATTACATTCAAGAAAAAGAGGTGTTAATATCTGAAGTATGATATATCCTTAAATGTTTTTCTTCATATAGCACCCAAATTTCCAAACTGTCTGGAAAGTATCTCCTAAAATATAACTCATACCTTAAGTCATAAAAATAATGGCCAAGAAAAAAAATCAATGTAAGACAAAATTTACAGTTTATATTCTTAATTCCCCATTCAATAAAATATCAATTGCCAATTTATTAAAAGTAAATGAACTATATATATGCAGTCCGTTAGAGCTGAAAATCTGAACTATATATATTTAAAAGTCAATCTTTCTGACAGTATTTAAAATATTGCATCTCTGGTGGCAAACCTGAAAACTATCAAACATTTTATTTCCCTAGTTTTCATACTTCAGCAGTTAGTCCTACCCCTTTTTATCCTCTTAATACCATCCAGCACTTTGTTTTGTAAATACACTTACTTATATGCCAACACAAAACACTGACAATTCTCCTTGATAAACAAGGAAATACCAAAATAGTCCAAGCCTACAGCTTTGTTTCCAAAGTGTGGCACAGGCTAAATGATAGAAAGAGAAAAAAAAAAAAAAAATCAATGGCCCTTATTGATGCAATCAGAATGCTCCTGAGAGTCCACAACTGTTTGACAATTTGCTGATGTAATCCTGAAGAAAGTTTCAACAGATTGTGCAGACAAGTATCAGAGAATAAGTCTTTGATTGATAATCTTTCTATTTATTTCTGCCAAGGCGACTGAAAACACGAAAGCCTTTTCATCAGAGAGGTTAGCATAGATGTCAATTTCCTTTTCCTGTTTCTCTGTTAAAAGAAAAAGGGAAAGCTTAATATAAATGCAGCAACTTTAAAAAAAATTATAAAGCTTTCAAGTATTTCTTTTAATGACAATAAATATTATACATAATTGTACAATATGTTTAGTGTTATGGTACTAATTTTTTTTTAAATTACACAAAGGTATTGAAATGGAGACTCTTTCTATACACACACAGTCCAATAGCTACATCATTTCTATAAGAATCTCATCTATTTCTTTTTCCTCACTACTATGAGTTCAATCAAAATTTCTAACCCTAGATGTTTATTTCTGAACATCAATGATAATATATTAATATTGTCACCTTATAGCCCTGCTATAGAAAACAAGAACAACATTTATTTCCACCCTTCCCCTCCTCATTACAGATGAAATCCAAGTTCACAGTAAGAAAATCTGAAAAACAAGGTGGGCATGGTGGATCATGCTTGTAATCCTAGTGACTCAGGATGCTGAGACAGGAAGATTGCCAAATTCAAGGCCAGCTTCACCTAATGAGAACCTATCTCAATACAAAATAAAAATGTAGCTCAAACGCAGAACATTACTAGGTTCAATCCCTAATACCACAAAAAAATAAAATTGAGAATTTGAAAAATAAAGATAAAACCACCTATTAAATTATGAGCCAGCCAAAACCACAATAAACATCTTGCTGGATGTTTTTTCCAAGTGCCCTTTTCAGCTTGTACTATGATTTTGTTATTTTGACATTTCAATCAAAATTAAACATGCAAATAATTTAGTCAAATTATTTTACAAAACTTGTTACCAAAAAAAAGAAGTCCATCCATCCCTCCATGCAAATTTCCCACTTTCCAGATGCAACTACTGATTTTTTTTTTCAGTTACTTCTCTTTGTTTTTACAAAAACATATCTATCTCTAATTTTTTTAGAAGATGCTAATTCAATTATTGGTTTAGACATTACATATTCAGTTTCCACCATGAAAAATTAGGATTTTTTTTGTTTTGCATCTCCTGTTCCCACCACAAACACTCTGGTTTTGTGCCCTCACCTTCTCATTATGAATTGCAATTTCAGTAACACCCATTTTTCAGTGACTATGTGAATGATTTCACTCTTCTTGCACATTGTTTTCCCTGAATTGAATCTTTTTTCAAAACTTTTTTATAGTTATTTTTTTAAATTATCACTAAAGTTACATAACAGTGAAATACACAAATACATTAAGAAGACAACTAATGAGTTCTGATAAATACATACTCATATAACCCACAAAATGATGATATACAAAATTTCTTTTACTCCAGAAAATCCCTCATGCTTTTATAGTTAGTCCCTTCCTAAGCCCACCAGTAACCACTGTACTGATTTCCATTTCCATAAAATTCTCTTACTAAACTTTATATAAATGGCGTCATATAATATGTTCTCTTGTGTCTAGCTTCTTTCATCAATGGTATTAATATAATAATAATTTGTTCCTTGCTAGGCAATATTTCACTGTATTCCAATATCATTTTGATTCTTTCCTTTTTCTGAAAACCTAAATGATTTTTCTCTTTCTAGAGATATATAATATGAAGAAACACTGAGGTATCATTTCTATTTTTAACCATCCTTTAGATTGGGAATTTCACAGGTTCTCTTAATATAGAAACTCAAGGTCCTTCAGGTTTGGGAACATTTCTTGAATTGTTTCATTGAAGACTTCCTTCTCCTCCATCTTTTGTATTTTTTAGGGTTTTTTTCCTTTTTGAAACTGATTATTTATAGATGTTAGACCTGAGAATTTACTATCTTTTCCATCTTATTTTTTTAACCTCTTTTCTTATTACTATCCTTTCTAGAACTTTTCTTCAATTTTATCTTTAAATTTTCTATTAAGGTTTTTCATTTCTGAGAATCATATATGCTTTGGGTGCTTCTGAATATTTTCAAGTTTATATTTTGAAGTTCCTCAGGTGCCTTTTTGACCTCTGTAATTGCCTTTCAAATATTATTTGGTCTAGTTACATGATTATATCTTCTTTTGCTAAAGATTATTAATGATAGTTTTGATTTTTTTTCTTTTCCAAGCAAAGACTTGTTTTCTCTAAGTTATTTCTTCATACCTTTTGATTTAGTCTCAGCCTTTCACATATTAGATACTTTCTTCCAGGTATCTGGGCTATTCCTGGTAAAGTGTTCACATTTAGAAGTATTAGCAAAAAAAGGTGATTAGAAGCATGTACACATATGTGGAACTTGACTGTGAAAGAATGAATGACAGTATTTTTATTTTAGGCTTTTTCTCCTGGGCTCTTGAGATTCCCTAGAGAAGATTATTTCTGATCTCTTATTTGGAACACAACTCAACATTTACCAAGAACTCAGTATCTATCAAGAACTCAATATTTACCAAGTCAAATTTTCACCTAATGTTCCTAAGATAAATATAGTAGCCCTCCCTCAACTATGTCTGGTGTTCCCTAGACTAGAGACTTTGTTTTAACTTCTACTTTTTAAAGATAAACTTGTAGGAGGCGGAGGGAATAAGGATACTTTCCTTTTCCATTTTTCCTTCTTCCTATCCTTTTTCAAAATCAAAAAGGATAATTTTTAAAGTTTTGGTTTTTTAGACACATTGTAAGATTTTTTTCCTTAAATCATATGTTTAAAATGAAAGTTAAAACTTGCTTCAAAAATTTTAAGTGTCCTTTAAGAGTAGTGACTCAATAAAAACAGAATTAAACTAAATAGCTACTCAGTCACAAGAAGCATTACCAAAGAATCTATTCCAAAATATACAGACATTTCAATAGTTTGTAATTTCTATCCATATATTTAGAGAATAATGGTCTACATTAACAACTGGAAAACAACAATCTGGGTGCCAAATCTCACCCATCTCCTGTTTTTGTAGCTAATTTCCAGCTATAATGACAAAGTAAAGTAGTTGTGGCAGAGACTGCATGGTACACAAAGCCTAAAATATTTACTATCTAATATGTAAATTTTTTTACAGAAAAAGTTTGGTGAATTCCAGTCTAAAAGTAAAAGATTCCAGATTGTGCTGTAGAAATTGCTTTGAGCATTTTCCTGCAATGTGAATTAAAAGTAAATAAATTTAAATAGCATATATTACTCTTGAAATAGCTTCCTTAAAAGTTTTCTATAATACACTAAAATACCACCTGAGAAATTTTACAGCCAAATAAATGCTTCTTTTTTCAAGTTATCATGAAATAAATATTCAAGTCTGTATATGTAAAGTCTTAGCAAAACAATTCAGACTTTATTTCCTCAACTAAAAGACTGTCATTGTGTTTTCTTATCTCTTCTTACCATCAGAAGAATTTCCTTCTCTATTCTTTCATTTACATTCCCTTTACATCAACTGAAAAAAATATGTTGTTCTCTGGACCAAGCAATATTTCCCTTTTTTCTTCTCTGTTGACTTTTCTTTACCCAGTTTCCTTTCTAAAATAACCTTTGACATAAATATCCTGATGATCTATTAAATAAGCACATTCAAATTAAGCAAATAACTCAAAACGCTCTAGAAAAACATAATTGAAAAAGGAAAGAGAAAAAAAAACAGTAAAATTATCCAAGGAATTAAAGATCCCAAGTACAGTCTTCATGGATAGTCAATTTATGATATAAACATCATTCCTTTAGTCACACTATCTTAAGACACCTTTGATAAAAATTAGGACAGCTATACCAATGAAGTTATTTTCTCCAACAGTACTAACTTCATTCAAATAAAAACATACAAAACATAGAGAAATGGTAAACAGAATATCCTCAGTGTTTCAAATAACAACAGTATATATTTATGCAGGAAGCACTTGAGTATCTAACACAGAACAACTAAAAAAAGCAAAGCATAATTCACAAATATATTAAGAAACTATAAATGCATTTCACTACAGATGAAATCATTTTGACAGAGGTTTTTAAAGAATTATAAAGAGTATCCCTTTTTCATTAATTACTGGCTTTGAAAATCTCAATTTAAAAAAGACATTCATGGGCATATAGGTATTCATTTTACTAGTTTCCCTATTGTTGAATATGTTGAAATTTTCCATGATAAAAAGTTTTTTAAATGACATATACATCAAAGAAAAAAAAGCTGAAGTTTTAATTCAAGTTATTTGTAGACTACTTATAAGGAAAAAGGAGAAGACCTATAAGGAGGAACAGAAATACATTTTGGATCAAGAAGAATTCACCTAATTTTAACAAAACCTGCCTCAATGCAGGGAGCACATAAATCTCCCAATAAACATTTTAAAAATTCATACCAAAAACACTTCAAACATTAAATGTTTAAAACTCATGGCATAATAGTTTAAAATAAGTCTTAAAAGAACTTTGACTTGAGTTTTTTTTCTTTTAAAAAAAAGTACAATAACCCACTTGAAGCAAAGTGTGAAAGATGATATATCAAGAACTATGTAATGTTTTGAACAACCAACAATTAAAAAAAAAAAGTACAATGATTTTAATATGCTTCTCAAGGATGTTATATACAAATTATTATCTCTGGCTGGGCACAGTGGAATGTCTGTATTTCCAGCAACTTGGGAAGGCTGAGGCAAGAGGATCACAAGTTAGAGGCCAGCATGGGCTACTTAGACCCTTTCTCAAAATAAAAATTTTAAAAAGGGCTAGACATATATGTAGCTCAGTGGTAGAGAGTTCCTGGGTTCAATCCCCAGTACCAGGAAACAAAAACAAAAAACTTATCTGTGTATTTTACTAATACCAGTTTATAGCAAAGTGGATTTTACCTAATCTAAATCTTTCCAATAAGAATTTGTGTGAGTTTTTTAACTAAGCATCTAACATAGAGGAAATATTTCAAACGAAAATATACATGTGATTTTAAGTCCAGAAGCTCATGCCAGACTCCACTTTCTTCACTACTATCTAATTAAGATCTCTGACCAATTTTAATACCGGGGGGAAAAAAAGCTGCTTGAATTTATTCATACCTCTTTCTTCCTCATGTTTTTTGGCAGATGCACTTTTAGGTCTTCCTCTTCCTCGTCTGATATGATCTGAATGGCTGTTACTTCGAGACCTCTTTCTGTTTTCTAAATCTTTATTTACTGTAGAATTTATCTTCTCTCTCCTAACTCTCTCTGTTCGCCTCCTCTTGGCCTCATGCTTGTTTTCTGTATGGGTGAATAAAAGTGATATATTTTAGGGCTTAGCAAGACCTGTTTGTCCTAGACTTGTTTATTCTCTCTTTTTCTTTCTAAATAGCACTAGAATATGCTTCCTGGCATATTTTATAAAACTACAGCAATATATGTTCCCTTAACCCACGAAGGAAAAAGAGAAGCTCAACAGAATTCAGATCCACATTACACATGAGAGGTAGAAAAATTTTGAAAGAGAAAACAAAAGTTTCATTTGACAGCTTTAATTTCAGCCCCTAAAAGTTTGAACAATTCCACAGCAACCTTTCTGCGTTTCTGTTTCCAAGCTAAAAATTATAAAAGAAAAGGAATAAAAAGAACTCCATTCCTACCTGAATTATATACTGAAATATGTCAAATATGCAGAAGCAAAACTAACCTTATGTATAACATGCTAAGGTTACAATAAAAATCAAATAGAGGGGCTGGGGTTGTGGCTTAGTGGTAGAGCGCTTGCCTAGCATGTGCTAGGCCTTGGGTTCAATCCTTACCATATAAAAATAAATAAATAAAATAAAGGTATTGTGTCCAGCTACAAGTAAAAAATAGAATATTTTAAAAAATCAAATAGAGAGCGCCCACAGAAAATCTTTTAAAAACATTATAAAACTGAGTAGTTTTCACGTAAGCCACATAAGAGGCAATTACTGATATAAGAGAATGTTGCTCCATAAATGGAATGGCAATAGAGGAACTTTACTAATTTGGTGATTTAATTAACTCAAAAAACCACCCACCCTACTCCAAATAAATCAAAATGCTGGATAAAAAAAATAATTTAAAGAACAAACAAAAATTCTTTTAATACATACCTGAATTCAAAAGCAAGAAAGAGAATTCCACAAATGCCTAAGATCACAATGGTAAGAGGGCAAAATGAATGGAAAAATTCATATCCCCAGAACTAAAGAAAAACAATTTAAAAGACTATACAGTAAATTTAAAAGGCCATTGTTAAAAATAATAATTATTATCTCTTAGTACTATACTTTTAGAGAATTAGTAAATTCTAGGTCAGAGATTCAACATATACTGGATGATAAAATAACATTTAATTATTCTAGATGGGAAAAAGTTATTAATCAGGGCTGTTAAGACTCAGGGTCCAATTTGAAAAGGTTCCCATTGAGTATAAGACAATATGAACATCAATAAAATAAAAACAACAACAGACTAAAACATACCAAATATACTTAAAGCCCTGAGTACACAACATTAAAAGTAAAAACTACATGGCCACTGTAGGAAGTTACTGTAAGAATCAATTCATTATTTTGAAAACTTAAAAGGAAAGAATAAGGAATGACAGAATTAGAGTCTCACCATTTTTCAATCTGATCTAAGCACTAAACATTAATAACTGCTAACATCACTCAAAGAGAAATAAGCAGACTTTAAATGCCTACTAACAGAAATACACATTACTACCTACTAATTATGTTAAAAAAAAATTCAGTCTCATCACCATTAGATCCAACTTACAACATAAAAAAAAAAAAACTAAAAGAACCTATACCATGGCTAGGTACATTCAAAGGGACAGGTAAAGCAGCTTTTCAACATACAATTTATAAGGGGAAAAGAAAGAAAACAGTAGATAAAAAGAGAACTAAAAACACATCACCCATACGAAGACATGAATCGTGACTCTACTTTGTGTACAACCAGAGACATAAAAAATTGTGCTCTATATGTGTAGTAGGAGTTGAAATGCATTCTGCTGTCATATATAACAAATTAGAATAAAATTTTTAAAAATACACCACCCATATGTAATTTATGGAACTTACTTGGAATCTTTTTTTTCAAAACTTTAAAATCATTTAAGAGTAAAGTAAAAATCTGAACACAATTTGGACACCTGATATTAACAAATGATTGTTAATTTTTTATTGTTATAATGGTATTATGTTAGTTTTTAAAGGTCTATCTTTTAGAATCCTGAAATTATACGATATTTGCTTCAAAACAATAATCAAGGGAAGAGGTTGTAGGTATGGATAAGTCAGGGTTGATTACAGTCTACTTTTTTGTATGTTTAGAATTTCTCAAAAGAAAAAAAAGGTTAAAAGAAAGTGATAAGTAATACTTTACACAGTACGCCTCTCAAGGTTTAACAGTGAATTCAGGTTTGTTTCTTCAGCTACCCACCCATCTCTGCAAATTTCTTCACAACCACACTCTCAAAGAGGTGCCTGTACTTTCTCACCTCCAATTTACTCTTCAATACATGCTAGTAAACAGTTCTCAATTCAGTGAAATTGAACATCAAGCACAAAAAACAAAACAAAAAAAAAAAAAAAACACACCTCTATTTTCAAATCAACTTCAATTTGAGAAACTTCACTTTTTATCATCTTAAACCATCTTTCAAAAAATTCAATAAAGATGACCACTCCACTCCTTGAAATTATTTCTTCACTGGCTTTTCAGGCTCTTTAGATTTCCCAGCCATTCCTCTTTATTACTTTTGCTGTGTTCCCTTCCCTAGGTGCTTTCTCAATCTCTAATGTTAAAGCCCCAAGGACCTGTTCTAAGCTCTTTTTCCTTTATCATTTTAACTTTTACAGACCCACAGTATCAAACACTACTGTTATGGTAGCTTCAAAGTTTATATCTTCTGCTCTAATCTCTTCCCTAAACTGCCAGACAACTTCACTTATATTAAGTATTTTAAATGTATTAAAAATAATTTGCTTCCTCTTTCCAATTTGCTTATTCTCCAACCTTCATCATATTAGTAAAAAAACACCAACCAGTTGCACAAGCCAACTGATTCGTCTCGCTTCTTATACCACCATAAAGGTCCATTCATACTCTTACCAAAATATATCCATAATCTTCATTTCTCCATGTGCAACATCCTAATCAAACCCTTTCTCTACATAGCAGCCAATATTATCTTTTTAAAAAAATTGTACATCTTTCCTTCATGAAGGCCTTTCATTAACTTTGAAAATGATGAAAAGGCTTTCATTAGTTTTCCACTGTTTAGAATTAAGATTCCTAACCACAAGTTCCCATAAGATCCAACATTCATCTTTCTCTCCAATTCTATTGCATATTATACCACATCATTAACTACAATCTAGACATACCTTTTTTTTTAATAAAACAAGCTCCTCCCTCTGCCTGAGTCTAAGTATCTGTAATCCTCCTGCCTAGAGCTCTCCTCAAAGAGGTCTTCATGAGACTGGCTTTCTCCCTTCAGATATCCATCTATATGTTCCTAAATGTTTTGGGGGGTTATTTGTTTTGTTTTCTGTGATGCTAGGGATTGAACACAGGGCCTTGAGCACATAAGTAAGCACTCTACCACTGAGCAACACCTCCAGCCCAGCCATAATTTATTTGTCACTCCCTCTGAATCTCCCAACCAACTTACTTCCTATCATCTCCTACTGCAATCTATAATATATTTACTAATATGTTTAATGTCTCCCCCATCAAACTATACTTTATGAAAGTGGGATTCCGTTGTCTTTTCACAGAATGTAGAACATAAACTCCACATATTAAGTATTACCAAATAAATAAAATCAGACTCAGTATACACATTTTCCTCACCACCACCTCAAAATTCTACTGAAATGAAGGTAAATGTGAGAAAAGGGAAAATAAATTTGTGCTGGAAACAAAGAAAAGGTGCTACTAGTGATCCAAAAATTACATAATTTCAGCAAAGTAGAAAGCCAATGGTTCTGATTAAGAAATCAGGATAGAGGGCTGGAGCTGGAACTCAGTGGTAAGAACACTTGCCTAGTACTTGTGAGGCACTGGATTCAATCCTTAGCACCGCATATAAATAAACAAAATAAAGGCATTCTGTCCATTTCCAACTACCAAAGCAAAAAAAAGAAAAAGAAATGAAACTAGAATAGAAGGATAACCCAAAATAGGAATAAATTATAGCTCCTATAGAAGGGAGAGAGTTGTTCTTACTAAGAGAGTCCTAAAGATATTTCCAGAACACAATAAAAAGTACAGAAATGGGAAGCAGGCCACTGCATGATCATCAGAAAAACTATAGAACTACTGCACAATAACTGAATCTATATACAGAGAACAACTAACATACAGAAATAAAATGCAAAAAACAGAGCAATGTGCAAGAGAACTTTAAGCCTTAAAAGAAAAAAGGCAACTCCTCACAAGAATGAAATACTCTATGAGATTTCACATCCTGTTCCAGAATGAAGCTTTGCTTTATTTTAGTAATAATAAGGATATTACTAAGCAGTATCCTGCATGCTTATCTAATGCACATCCAAAACTGCTGCTAAACTCCTCCCAATTATACACTAATAAAAACTGTTATTAAAACAGGAAATCAAGGATTACCAACAATTTGAGGAAAATAAAAAGTATGAGAGAAGGATCAAGGAAACAAGAATAAAATTTTAAAACATTCTATTATTGTGTATCTTCGGAAAGCTATGAAAGGAGATTATATTGTTAAGAATAAGATTCTTGTGCATAAACAGAAAAATCTATTCCAAAATTCATATGAAATCAACCTTAAAAATGTACAAGTAAAGAGATTTCACACTCCCTTCTTTTCAAAACTTACTACAAAACTAGAGTAATCAAAATAGTGTAGTATTAACATAAAGACAAACATACAGATCAAAGGAAAACAAAGAGTTCACAAACACATATATGGTCAAATGACTTTTAATAAAACTTCAAGAATCCTTCACTGAGGAAAGGACAGTATTTTTAATAAGTTATGATAGGAAAACTGGATATCCACATGCAAAAGAATGAAACTGGATCCTTACAACATATACCAAACTCAAAATGAGTCAAAGACCTAAACATAAACTATTAAACATAAAACTCATAAACATAAAACTCTTAGAAAAAATATAATGGAACTGTTTCATGACATTTAATTTTGGCAATAACTTCTTTAATATGATACAAAAAACACAGCAACTAAAAAAAAACAGACAAACGGGACTTCATCAAAA